GAAATGAAGCATTTGGTGGATGTGGCGCATAGCTGTCCGCAGAAGTAGGAATGAGTCTGTTAAGGGGAAGTAGTAGGTTCACATAACGTGCGTGATTTACATGTTATTTCACTACCATTTTCTCTATTATAAAAAATAGCAGTTTGACTTTACCAAAAAGCTGTTCGTGGTAATTCTCGAAATATCAAGATTTCTTGGTTTTATTGTTTGACTTTAGTTTGAAAGTTGTCGTCGTGGTATAGAGGAGCTGAAGACTGTGTTCAAAGCGGAAGAAACGGCCCTTTTATGTGAGGCGGCACTTTTACGTCAGCAAAAAAGCACTGGGTTGGCAATAACAAAGTTGGAAGATTTTGCAGCGAGGCACAGCGATGCTTGCCCCCAGCCGGTAAAACTGGCACTAATCCAGTTGTATTTAAATGAAGGTGAATCGTAAGGATATGCCGCTATGGACTTTTGATGTTTTTACTGTTGTGTAGGCAAGATCGACAAAGCTTGCGAAGGTCTGGTCGCCCTGGGCGGCGATTTCGTCTATTCTCCTGGAGTTCTGAGTCTCATGACAGCTCTGTACCTCTCTGTTGACAATATCAGTGCGGCTTCAGTGACGCTCTCAAAAGCGGTGAATCGTTTAATGAACGATAAAGTAATTAGAACGTTTCTGTTACTAATAAAGTTAATGATTGCAACTTGTTTTGCTTTAGTCTAACGAGGAGGTGTTAACTACGTTGCTTGAAGAATGTGCTACTCTGTATTCACGGCTGGGTGATCAAGAAACGGCACTACAGTACCTTGAAAGCCTTAAGAATATCAAACCGAACGACAAAAGCATTTTGGCACGGTTGATGAACGCCTATATGTTGATTGATGAGCAAAAGGCTTTGAAGTAAGCGATTTCTAATTTTACAGTCTTTCGTACACTTATAGACTAGCACTGCTGAGTTACTGGGCCAACCTGACAAAATGCGCGTAAGTTTATGACGAACCAGATTTCAGAAACACGAATAACAGTATGATGAAATATTAGTAATTATTAATCAGTTTAATTTTTTTCTTAGTAAATTATTGTATTAATCTGTTTATT